ATATCAAAATCAAACTATTAATAGTTAATTAAATTCCCAAGCATTGCACACATTAAATTTTTGTATAAATTAATTCATTCACCTGTAAGGCTCATTTATGAACAAAGCGGCAAAAAGTGTCCACTTATGCAATCCTAACAGTTCCAATTGGTTAACAAGATTCAATGTGACACAATCAGCAGTCACACCTTTGCCTACAAAGTCTCTCACAGTTAACGTGCGAGCGAGCATGAAATGCAATAACCATGTCACGCGGTAATCTAATGGCGAAGGTGAAATAGACAATGGGAGTAATACATCATCGAGGAGATGGGTTGAATCGACATAAAGTTTTAAAAGATGATAATGAACATCAAAAATATCTTCATTATCCGAAACAGCCCAAGATACGGGAGGTTTTGGATATATTTCATCCTTGTACCACGGTAATGGTTTTGTAACTCCTGGTAATGGTAATTTTCGTGTACCCTCGTAATCAGCGAAAGCCTTATCAAATGGTTCATCCGAATAGCGACCATACCACATGTGCATACAAAGAGCACGTTTCCAATCCAATCCGTATATTGACGGTCTTACATTCCCAACCATTATTTCATAAAGCTTCCAAATGTCCTTAGATATAAGCTTATCTACTCCAGTCTGTTTCCAATGTTCAATTTGATCTTCAATATGTTTTCTAAAAAATTTATCGTTCCCGCATAATTGGGACAATAATGTCGCTAAACGGAAATAGCGTTCCTTAATTGCCACTTTTGAAGCTTTCATTATATCTTTACTACTAAGACAAACGAAAATGGTCTCTGGTGCATTATTGGCACGCTTATTGTGCGCTATAGCATGAAGTGAAACGGCATCCTTGAACCATTTCGAAATTCGTTCTTTACGCTTTTCAAGATCAATTTTTTCTACAACTTCCTGAGCTGTTTGATCAGTGCCAGGAATTTTGATATCATCCCATAAAGCGTGTCCAAGTTCCCAAATCAATTTTTCATGTCGGTGGATGTCTTCACTTTGAAAAGCGTCTATTATGTTTTTAAAATTAACCTTAGCAGTATCAACATATGGTATTCCATTTTCTTGTCCAATTGTTGAGTTGTCGAAAATAAATTCCATTAATCTATTGTGTTTTCTTTTTTCCTTATCCTAAACAAAGTTCAAAATTAAGTGTTCATTTAATACAATAAAATAAATGGTTATATTTACATACTTCCGTATCAGCAAACATTCGAAGTTGTTCAAATTGAATTATTGAAGGCATTCCAGTGTTTTTACTTAAGCCAGTATTCTTGCCTTTTGGAGAGAAGGCTGATCTAAAGGAAAATTAAATTTAGGTTTAAATACTTAACATATTTGCTGACACGCGCAAAACACGAACATGAACCTTCACTTTAACTTACATTACATTTGAAATTCCACATACTTTACTGCAGCGAACGAGAATTCCATTGGGACCCCATCCTACTCTAAAAGACCTTCCCATTACAAGTCCTGAATCTTCTTTGCAATAATTTTTTCCAAATACAACGGAATCATTATAATCAACAATCCTACGATACTTGCTAGGCATAGGGATAACTACATCTCGTTGAGGTGTCTCTACCGCCGTGGAAAACGACTTACGTGACTTTTATATGACATACAGTAGACAAGTTAGAAGTTAAACAATTATATAATTTTTTAAAAAAGCATAATTTATTGTAAATACATTCAAAATAAGATTTACAAAATATTAAATCAAATATATCATTGAAATGAATATATTGGAAGAAAAATAAAAACAAAACTATATAAACATATTGATATATACACATATATATATATATATATATATATATATCATTAAACTATCAAAAAGATTCAACAGACAATAAACCAAACTTTTGGTACAAAACTTAAAAATTTAAATACTCCAGTGTTGAAATTGTGTGGATAATATATGCAAAAATTACATTTGTTTGATGACTCCCCGACTCACCTCCACAATAGGTCGTTCCTCAATTTGCATGGCATTTTGATCCTCATAACTTCCCAAACTACGTTTACGAGAATCATCAAATTCTTCATTGTCCATGGTAGTATCCATTGACATATTATCTTCACTATGAAATATGAAATTTTGCATTTCACTGATAACGTCAGGATCATGCCCCAAGGCTTCTGAAAAATTAATCACAGGACTAAGTTTATCAATATCATGTTCTTTTTCTTTTCCTTTTCGTGACTGAGATAGAGGTTTTGATTCATCCTGTTCGGTGACAGGAAGTATTACAGGGAATTGAAACCGCTTTTCTTCATATTGGTCTTCGGGATCATCAAAGATAAGACCGTATGTAGTAAAATGTTCTACTTGAAATACCCAGGTACCAGTTGCAGGCACGAAAGTAATGAATTTTGTGCCTTCAACCCTTTTTAATCTTTCAATACGTTGTTGATACCGGTGATCTTCTGGTTCAGTAATCGGTTGTCGATTACTTTTATCCAAAGCCCAACAATTTGTCAATGAGATTATTGCAGGCTTATTGAGTCCTTGCCCCGGAGGTGGTTTGTTATAATCATTGCCATAAACGGTGCAGTGTTGTGACTCAAATTTAATGATTTTTCCTAGAATATCATCAATTGGATTGATTTCACTAAGATCCACTGGGTCGGGATATTCAATGGCACCATAACCTTTTCTTCCCACTAGAAAACCACTAACTGATTTTAAATGCTCTGGACTCATTTCCTTGAGATCTTTAATTGTAGGAGTAGAATAGTATTCACTGTCAAGAATTGGTGATGAAAATATCTCCTCCTCTTTAGTTGATCCATTAGATGGAGATGTCAATGGTGTTTTTGATATCTTCGTTGGGGTTGCAGTCGTAGAACTGCTAGATATATCTATGGATCTAATATTTTTTGGACTAAATGAATGAGATATAGTATCAGCACCCGACTCAAGTCTAGAGTCGAAAGGTATAGATTTTTTAATTGGTGTTTGTCCCTCATTTGACGCTCCTGGCCGAGCATCAGGTTCAGACAATAACTCCTGTGGCTCAACAGAATGATCTAACACTAGTTTTCTAGGATTCCGTCTTGTGAATGCGTCAGGACTTAATATATCGTCCTGACTCACAGATTCAAATAGGTGTAATGGTTTGACTTCTGGTCTGAAACCTTGATTAGTAGGCGACGATGAAAGTATAAATGGTTTGAGTTTTGTGGTTGGTTTGGGTGTGACTTTATGAGAAGTAGTAATAGATTTCTTTTTCGTGGGACTTGATGCAAGGGGAGTAGCGGTTACTGTCGGTTTAGTAGGCATTGATGATGTCATCTGATAAACTGGGATGTCACCATACGGTGACTTGTCAACACTAGCTTCTAATCCTTGGGTTTGACCAGTTTGTCCAAAAGGCGCAGCTACGGAGGCGGTACCAAATCCCATGCTGGGTGCACCAAGATTAAAACTTGAAGGTTGTGCCTGAGTAGCGGTTCCAAGATTAATACTTGGTACTGTTGGTTTGCTAAATAGCCCCATCCCTAGATTTCCCGTAGGCGCACTCGTAGTTGCGCCGAAATTGCCGAACAGGTTGCTGGTTGTATTTGATGTGGCTGGTGCAGCACCTCCGAAAACACTTCCGGCTGCAAAGAATGAAATATAAAACAAAAGGTATGATCAATTAAATTATAAAATTTAACATATAAGAATTTTGATATACATGAATTATTTTGTTCACTCACTGCTTTGAGTACCGAATCCAAATGAAGGTTTAGTAGTATTAAATAAGTTCAAAGCAGGTGCACTTGTCGTTACTAAATTAAACAATAATTAATTATTTATTTATTTACTATTTTAATTTTAAATCTAAATATTTTTTAATTTACCTCCAAATCCGCCAAAAGCCGGTGTCGTTGTAGGTGGTATATTAAATCCACTAGCCGCACTAGTAGTTTTAGGACCTAATTTGATATACAAAGTTCTTTGGTAAGTTTCAAGGTATATATACATATTAAACATAAAAAAAAAATAAATCAATTACCAAATCCAAAGCCTGTAGTCAGACCTCCGCCTCCGAAGTTGGGTTGTCCAAATGTAGGCGCTGTTGTTGTGGTCTTTGTTGCTCCAAATGTAGGTGTAGCCGGCGTAGTTGTTGTTCCGAAAAGGCTGCTACCACCTATCGAAGATATTATGAATGTAAAGTAAATATCAACGTATAAATGAAAAGAATAATATAATGAAATGTATAATTACCTATTCCACCAATTGCATTTCCAAACCCACCTCCAGCACCTGGCGTGGCAGTACCAAACCCCCCTCCTGTTGGTGCACCGAAAGGTTTTGATGCGCCAAATAATTGTGATGAACCGACTTGAGCGCCAAAACCTCCTCCAGCAGCGGGAGTCGCTGTAGCACCACCACCAAATGCAAATGGCTGAGAGGGTTGTGTTGATTTAACACCAAAAGCATTACCAAACCCACTAGGTGCAGCACCAAACGCACTTGGAGTGCTTGTAGCTCCAAAGGATGGTGTTACACTACCAATCCCACCAAAATTAGATCCAGTAGCATGTGGTTTTCGATTTAATTGGTAATCTTGTAGTCGAAGTTCCTAATGATCATTAATTGATTAGTAAACTTCGATGTCAGATAGATTAGAAAGTTGTAATTTTCTTGTATACATTCATACCTCAAAAGAGAAATTTCTGTACGCAGGCATTGCACTAATACTATGGAAAATATTCAAAGTTCCAGCTGGATCTTTTTCGCTTGTTGTCGTATAAGATGGATTCGCTGTACCGTTAGGAGGTGGACTTGGTGTCGCAGTGGATGTCCCTGTAGTTAAATAAATAGTGCATCAATAAGTAATTATAAATATACATATTTGATGGCTGTGTATTTCCCGTCGATTTGAATTTACCATATCAAAAAAGCCGTGTTTAATCATACAAAATAAAATTTGGGATTTTATCAACATGGCCGGATTTTTATCAGAATATAAAATTTATAAATGCAATTTCTTTATAACTTTTTAATATTAAACATATTTCCTGACAAAATAATGACTAAACCATCAAATTTAAGGATATTTTAGAGATCTTAAATATTTAGAACTTACCCGTACCACCGAAAGGGGTTACTGTTGGCGTTCCAAACAAACCACCACTTGGATTTGATGCAGCTAGAAAAATTAAGGGTATTGAACGCAAATTTAGAAAGTTCAGACGATCAAGGGAATCAAATCAAGAGTATGAAAAGTTACATACGAGCCCCGAACCCAAAAGTTGGCGTTGTCTGATTTTGAACGCCAAAGCCTCCAAAACCGCCCGTGCCCGTAGAAGTTGACGTTCCTGCTCCAAAGCCGCCTAAATTTGAGTAGAGTAAATGAAAAAAAAAAAAAAGAAAAATCAATAGAAATTAGTTGCGATCTAAATACGGTTATTTCTTTCTCGAGAAAGACGAGTCTTACCAAAAGCAGGTGTCTGTGTGTTAGTTCCAAATAACGATGTTTGATTTGGCTGTCCAAAGCCACTTGTTCCTGCACTTTGTCCAAAAGTGCTTTGATTTGAGTTACCGAACATTATGGTTAAAGTTGATCGAAATTTTAATGTTTTGTGATGTGTGAGGGTGAGGGCCTTTTATATTCTCAGCTGATTTGACTTATATAATCAATATACTATACTATATACATATTTATAATTAACTGCGTTACAATTTTTCTGCGCCTTGAGTCACTTCAATGGAATTTGATTTTATTGGCTAATAAGAAAGGTTTCTGATTGGTTAAATTTAAAATCAATTTTATTGTTGCGATGCCGTACGTACGTACGTAGCAGTTGAGTAACCTGCTCACGTGAAACTTGACCCTTAAGAAATACTATCATTATCGTTATATATATAAAAGTTCGTGCAACAATGTTTTTCAATAGAAACGTATCATAAATTTTTCTTGTGTATCATTGGATTCTCTCAACAACCAACCAATTATACTGCGGCAACAATTTGTCATTCTGCGCCAATGCTCACAGTAGTTATATTGTTCATTTTAGAGTGATGAAAAGGTAACATTATGATATCAGAATTTCATAAAGGCAACTCAACTTGTTGGATTTTATCCGCAAGTGTAAAGATTGGATTTCTCTAAATAATTCGCCGTATATATTGCTGTAATAAAAACTTTTTCGGATGGATTGTAACACATCATTGATAAACAATACTAGTCATCAATTCCTACATATGCATGCGCTCCGTTTAAATCTCTATCTATAATTAAACTACATTTATAAATCTTTTTACCGCCGATATCTTGTATATTACTACACTACGAGCATGTTTTCGAAATGTAAGCCTCGTCTTGGATCACTACCTTTAGACCAGTTTCTTTGGCTTTGGATTTTAGCCATTGTTTAAACCTATAGTGTGACCATGTTAACATACTTCTTATAACCTTGGATTTGATCTTTCTTTTTTTCCTTTTTATCATGTTTTCTATGCCAAATTCCGGAATTATAACCACATCATAATTTTTTTTATGAGATAATTTATAGTTTTCTTATAAAGTTCATTTTTTAATGTAAAATATTCAAGCTATGGCTTTATTAATTCTTATAGCTTTTTTTTTTTTCTTTTGGAACTTGAATTGTTTAACTTATCTTTTTTAGAATTTAGTTTGTTAGCATGATATCCTAATCTTAGCAACCTCTAATAATTATTTTTTTTTATTTTACAAGTACCTTCAGATAGTATATATATAATGAATAGGGTTTTCACTTCTGAAAAATAGTTATAAACCTTTTATATATTTTTTTTGACCATTTTTGTGAATCTAAAAAAGGATTTATTTATCAGTTTTTCTAAAATACATGAGCTTGCAATCATTATTTATCTTTTTTGATAGTTAATCATTGTTTTTTTTGGTTTCAAAATGCAAAGCTCTTGATTTTTAAATCTTTTTTTTTAAGAAATTTTGTATATATATAATGATAGATTTTTTTGGTTTTGAATTTTAATCTTGTTTTGTTATTTTTTGAATTAAAATTTTTATAGCTTCATTTATTCCTTAAACTGTATACCAATTTGGGACAAATTTGCCTTGAATTTTTTTAAGTATAAATATTTATAATTTAACTTTTTAAAAAATTAAAATATTTAATTTCATTTTTTTTTTAATTAATATTATAATATTTAAATTTAATTTATAAGAAAAAAAATTTAGATTATATATTAGTCTAAAAGTTAGTATTTTTAGAAAATTTTTATAATTTAAAAAAATTAGTTACTTATTCTTAATTAATTTGTTATT